ACAGAGATCGTTTAGTGATCGATTAAGTAAGAAAAGAACAGTGGTGAAAACGCCGCAGGTGAGATCATTCCATCCCTCTCCGTTCCGACTGATAGTGACGATATCAACAGCAGATCGGGGTGCTAGGCTACGGCGCAATTATGGCCTTTGCCTGGTCTTGTCACTTGTTTTCGAACGTTAAGAGTCGGTCCTCACCCTTAGCGAGGAACCCATTTGCTCCCGTGATGCTTCGTCTGCATATTTCTGTGGTTCGTTTCATTACAACGTCAGTCCAAGTGTTTGACACCATAGTGGTGGCAAAAATTGTCGCACCCACGGTGGAGCACTTGGGCCAGTATTCGGGCCTACGGCAACATAGTCGTTTATTCAATGAGCGGATCTGGAGGGGGGCTCTGCACTCACCTCCCAGTACCATCCCTCCCACATGCTAGGTGACTGAACCGCGTTGGAGTAGCTCAGAAGTGCTGCTCTAGCTTACAATTAGAATTGCACGGGAACGGGGCTGAAGACTAGTGATACCGGCTGCCGTCACCTCACTCCGCCCGCGCTGTCACCAAGGTGCAGCACTTCAGAGGTAGTAGTCAGAAGTGAGTAAAGCAGACAAATAAAGTGTCTGGCTATGGACAGGCGCGTAGCCGGCCGCGTGGCAGCGCGGGTGGACCAAGGAGATGAAACTCGGTTATCATCACCCAGCGCCATCCCATGCACTTTTGAAAAGCCAGAGCCGAGGAAAGGGCACGCTACTGCAGCTGTCCACGTAGGTGAGCGTACAGCTTTTGTACGACATTTATGTCTATTAAAGACATTCTTCGTGAGTTCTCTTACTGGTTAGCAAGTTCTATTAATTACATCTACCTAGAGTTCTGAAGGGAGAACGGTCTTGATGAGAATAGCACCACCCTGCTGGAGGGGGAACGGTCTCCCCAAACTATGCAATGCAGTAATACACTTTCGCTCCCATGGACAGTTCATGTCATAGAATGTTTCGTGGTTTTCATAAGTGCTCATTGATATTTACATGCTTTTGGTACTTCTCTGAGTGTAAATAAATAAACAAGTATAACTCACTCTCTGACGTCTTCGCGAACAGTGCGGTTTTGTTTGCGCCACCAGTGCTCCAAAAAAATCGTCTCCGCCCACATAAAAGTCATATCCTTGTGTGTTTTGAAGAAATCGTACATTGCATCCAGAGTATCGTCTGTATCCTTGGAATACGAGTCGAACGTCTTTAACCATCCTGGATAAGTTTGCAATAAGTTTTGGTGCTACCGTAATCTACCGTATTCTTGTGGACAAGATAGACCTGAAGAAAAATGTCTTTCCGATTCCTAATAGACTGTCTCAGAGCAGAAAGCGGAAATACTAGACGGCTCCCGTCTAACAATGAGACTAGTTGCTTGCGTAATAATGGCCGAAATTCGTGGCAGAACTCGGACCCCAGTCTTGATTTTCAGTTTCTCATCTTTCATGCAATTTTTCTACAAATTTGGGTGGTACTCGACATTCAGCGGGTCACATTTACCATCCAAGAAGTTTGGATCAGACTCGTAGAATCGCCCAGGTTTTTTGCACTATATTAATGAAATAATTAATGCATATATTAATTAATATTTGGCATATATCAAAAAGTGATCATTAACACGTTCGCGGCGGCGTGTACTCCCGGGAGTACACGAAAAAACTCCGCTTTCGGCGAATCGTGTACTCCCGGGAGTACACGCGCCTATTCGCTCGTTTTTTGAATTTTTTTTCATTTTTCAGCTAGAATCAGATATAAGCAATTAATCAAACAATAGAGAATTAATATAGACACATTAAAAGAGGCGTGTACACCCGAAAAAACATTCAAAAACTTTTCTCTCAAGGCGAATCGGGCTTTTCCAGGAGTACACGCGCCTCTTTGCTCGTTTCCGCTATTTTTTTTCTTTTTGAATAGTAATTGTATGCATATACTGAAACAAACAATAGAGAAATGTTATCCATACATTAGAATAAGCGTGTACTGCCAAAGAAAACACGCGAAAACTTTTTTCTTTCAGCCACGTGTGCTCCCAGGAGTACACATGCTCCTTCTTCTTGGTTTTTAATGATTTTTTTTCCTTCATTTCACTGACAATTATATACAAATAATAGAATAAATAGTATAGAAGTAATACTAAAAACATTTCTTGTGCATTTTTTGGAAGCAGGAGAGGCAGTATTGGTTTTTACAAGAGGAACAAATCGTGTTTACTTTGAGAGGAAAAGTGCCTCTGTAGAAAGAATGGACAAAAAAACAAATCACGTGGTTTTTGGCGAAATTGTATTCGTTGCGAGTGCGCTTAACCATAAACGGGACGATTGCCTGAGTGTCGCCCGCCGCGAACGCGCCGCTCGACAAACGGAAGTTTTTGGCGAAACGGCGCCGCTGCGAACGTGTTAAAGGCAGAGCCCGCAATCATTCGCCATCACAGATAGTGGATCAGGGGTTTGCATATAAACGATAAGATGCTGAGCAACTCGATAGCGAAGAAAAAAAGCAGAGAAAAAGCATGCCAACTGCCCTAGATACAACCCCATTTCGATCCCAGTTTGTACTGCCCACTGAACTCCATCTCCAACATTATACCCTCATCCGCACAGCTGATTCGCCGATAAGACCCACACGGCCGTGCAAGTGACGATTTTCATGTTTTTTCGTTCAGCAGCTTCGTTTTTCCCTGGAAGGCGGACCTTGAAGGCGGGAGTTCACGTGAAAAAAAGGCCGTCAGCTGTACCTAAATGGCTCTATAGCGCCTCTCCGTTACAATTTTTGCTGCAAAACCGGTACAAGGCTGTTCGTCGCGGACCGCACTACCCTCCCGACGCCATATTTTCAATTCCTATACCAGGTCGCGGACCGTGCCTTTAACTACCAATTGCGCTTCAAAATGCTCATGCCATATGAGCTGACAGTCAATCAGTAACTGTTCTCGGGAAAACTCCTTTAATAGGAAAAGCGCTCCTGGATGGCAGAGCATTACGCTATCTCTAACGAAGGTAGTTTGGTTGTTGAATCTCTATTTCTGCCACACTGAACTTACCACGGTTGAGTTCCATATTTGTCCCAAAATTTGACGAAAATTATCAACAAATTATCAATCAAACTTCAATGTTTGAGTTTTCTTCCAATACTGCGGTAGTCTCACCTGGATCGGTGTGCGTGAATGGTACAACAATTACTTTTATCTTCTGGTGATTGCTCACGGTGTGACTGCTCTTCTCCGTTCCTCTCACGGAGCGATCAAACATCTGAACTCAAATGTTTTATATTCTGCTCAAATAATTATATCATGATATTTATTCCACTTTGACAACCGTCGGAGGGATTCTCACTAGCAACCTGGACGTAATTTAGTGCTTGAAGTAGACACAAAACCGAGCCAGGTGGCCCCCACGGAGCATACACGTCCCACTGCAGGAAAAAGAGTTCTTTACTAAAAACAAACAAGTGTCGCTCTTAGGCCACCCGCAATTCGGACGCTAGCGATCGCGAAGTAATTGCAGAAAGTGAATCGGTTGTCCGCAAGAACAGTAGGATAGAGGTCTTTTAGCTGATATCGTCGCAATCAGTTGAGGCGGTTGTCAAGAAGCCTGGAATGAGCTCGTCCCGGCTACGTTCGCTACCAATAGTGAGCGGTTCAGGAAGAAAACAACCACTGGCCGAAAACGCCGCCAATGAACTCGTTCCACGCTTCCTGACAAACCGCATGAATCATTATATCAGTTGATATCAATTGATATAATGATATATTGATATCAATCGATATCAATTGTAGTTCTTAACCGGGGCTTTGCAAGTGTTTATAAGACGCACACAATCAGAACGTGGCAAATGTCAGTGCTACCGCAACCTCATCCTCCATCTAAACTGGGATCGGAAGATGATCCCCTCTTTTCTTCCATGATAGGGGGACGGGAGAGGGATGAACGATGCAAAAGCCAGAAATCTGCCGTCCCCTACCGAGAAATCGAATAGTACCCACTCACAACTAAATACGATACATTCAGCGGTGAACTGATAACAATGACGTCAAAGGCCCATATGTTAGGCAACCGATGGCAAGATAATGAAAACGGATTGCATCGAGAACAAGTAACTTACATCAATTTCCGTTTTCGGCACATTTTTGACGACCGGCCGTGCCTAAAATCAAACATCTAATGTATCTAAATTACGTCTGCAAACAAGCTATTAATAAGATGCACGAGTAATTGGCATTGGGTAGAGGAATAACTTAACTCAAGAATAACTTTATTAAACTGCTGAGTCCAACACTCCCGCCTTCCTTGCTCTCGCCGTCTAGGCTCTCGTCCACGCGCTCAATGTTTCTTCGCCTTATGTTCATCGAATACTAGAATCAATCGCAAGAATGAAAGATTCGCTCATGGTTTGGTCTTTCAGGGCAGTTTTAGATAGTGCCATAAAACGAGTAAGAAGGATAGAAAAACACTGCATTCTTCAATTTTTGAGACGAGAGGGCGTCCAATCAACTAACGAGATGTAGAGGTAAGACTGCTGCTTGTCCAGTAAGAGACGCAAGAGTGTAAATAAGGGGGCAGGGACAGCACAACAACGCATTGACACCCTTGTGATGGCTCTCCCTCGGAACCAGCAACTCCACAGATACGTACTCGCTACAGATCATGAGAACAGGCCGTGGACACGCCCTCCTTGTCTCCGGGATATGGAGTGTTCTGCTTGGAAAGCGAGCAATTAGGCCGTGCTGTTGTATTGTGAACCGCCTGTAGCATTTAATACTCCCATCAGCAGTTCGGAAGGTGTTCGCTGACTATGGAAAAGTGCCAAACCTATTTGCAAGTAAAACTTCTTCATGGTATGCAGTAGTCAAGGCAAATGTTTTCTAAGCGCCCGGAAAACCCATTTCTCCCAAGATCGGAAGATGTGGGGGTCAGTGCAGCCGACACCAATAGGTCCCAATAGGGGACAGTTCTTAGGTGAATTCTCTTTGGAAGCAAGGTTTTGTAGCTTCCTTTCCATGTACTTGTTTTGTTTTTGTTTCTGTTTTAGTGGCAGAGGGGGAAATCTCTCCTTTCTAGTTTTTGGGAAATGGAAACGGTCCGGGATGAACATTCACGTTTCGAGTAATCTAGTCGCACGCCAGCCTTGTACGGAACATTTGAATCGTACCTATACAGGAAAGCAAAGTCCAGTGATCATGGTAGCAACACTAAGTTACCACTGCGACCTCAAGTGGCCCAAATCTTTTTCAATCTTCATCAGTAGGTGCCCTTTGACTACTGCGCTTTTTACGCCTTTATAGTCTGCATTGCCCATGCTTTTCGCGCCTTTATGGTCCGCATTGCCCTTATAAGTAGAAGCTAATTTGTTGGAAATGCGTCTGAGGAATGATTCCGGAGCCAATCGCGAATGTCAAATGTTTATATTTATTACCAAGGAGCTGAATCACTCGTTTTAATAAGCTGTTAGCGAAGAGCGATATTTTGAATTTGGTGTAAATGAGTATTGCCCACGTGTTACAGCCTCTTCTCTCAGCCTTCGAGAATCGAAATTTTTTGATGGACAATCGTTACCTTCCTCCTTTCAAAGATACCAGATACCGTGATCGACTGTTGACAGAGGTAGTAAAAGACGTAATTGGTGCGCCTTCCCTCTTCCAACATCTACCAGGGGGGGGGCAAAAAAGACTTTTTTCTTCCTTGACTTTCGAGGCGTTGTAAGTTACACTTTATTGAATTCTTATCGGATATTTTCCACCACCATATTAAAGAGCATATCAAATACTATTCCTGAGTTCAGCGAGATCGTTGATTTCTCCGCCACTGTAGACCACCCTATTGAACTCCGCCCGAACCAGGTAATTGAGGGGTTTGGGTCAGATGACCTGCTTGAATATTCCACCTTCCTCAGGTACTCAACGCCCCTCCATTCCAAGTAGGCAAGAGTTTTCCCAACGCCCTTTGAAATTCCATGTGGTGTCAACCTAATCCTGTAGCAGTACAAAGTTTCCAAGAAGGTGCGGGCGACGACATGTGGGGAGGATATTCTTCTCGAGTTGCTCGATGTAACCGCCAGTGCTCACTCACCTTCAGTCCGGGGCCCGCGAAGAAAATATCGGTCTCTCATTCCAGGGTAACGTCGCGGTCCGCTAACCATCAGAGTGCTGCCTGCGACTGTGGTGGAGATGATGTCCTAGACGCGGTGGCGACAGTTGTCGGCAGCTGCTGCAATCGTTGAGGTGCATCCAGATGCGGGAGTACTGTCTATCAAGGTAGCTATCCATGGGTGCACTCCATACTAGGAGTTGCAGCTGATATGGAGGTGACATGAGTTCCGAAGGTCTTCTCCAGTCAGGTTGCGGCTGGAGATGACTTCATATTTTGGTGTACATGAAGGTGATGGGCGAGCGCCAGCTCCTGCTTATAGAGGAACATCTTGGGTATCCTCCGCCCTGGTACTCGTATCCCCACGTTCTCTGTCTGGGCTGCGAAAGCACTTTGTTGATATATGAACTCGTTCGAAATGTCTTTTTGTCCCTCCCTGTATTTAGCGAGAAAGGCGCAAAGCACGGGGGAGGGGAGGCGGGGGGGGCGCCAATGGTATCCGTTTTCGTATCCGCCCGTCCACGGATTACCTGCATGTGTTTTAACATTTCAGAAGCATATCTCGTGGTAATGTCCATTCACGCGGACATACAATTCCGAGGAGTGGTTGCAAACGCGCAAGAACAGAAAGCCTTGGGAGCAGACGAAGTCGACCCATACATTAAGGCTCGAATCGGACCATTGTTCTGTATACCACTCCGTCCAATCACTGGGCTTGTTGATTAAACCTGCAAGCCACAGTCTCGACGAACTCCTTGTACGTGCGATGTGTAGTACAGTTTCTGCTGAAGATGGCGGGGCTTGTTTCCACTATCCCTGACACACCCATCATCCGCAGCGAAAAGGACCATAACTCATTTGAACTGATTTCCGCATAAACATACAGGTCGCCTTGGCAAGACAAAACTTTGAAATTTCAATTCGATACGCGGTACTGCCAGCATTAAGCTGAGAGCTCGAAAAGACATCGCCAGGGTCATGAAAACCAGATATCGTGCAATGGAAAGATCTGATCTCCAAAGGTCAGTCACTGCCAGTAATGGCAACAAGGTTTGCGCAGAACAGCCAACAAGGATTCCGGGATGCAGCTGCTGGGAGCTTTAAGGATAGACGGAATGTCGGTGTCAGAACTACTCCCCAAAGTTCCTCATGACCACCTCTCACAACTTACCTACCACTATACCAGATTCTTCCAGCTCCGGAACTAATTTTCTGAGAATATCATCAGTTATCCTCTAAAAACTGTGGTTCAGGATTCTTTTAAAACAACTACTCAAGTTCACTATTCACTATCAGAAATGATGCTTATGTAGTACGAAAAATCGTGAATGAAGGATTCGCGCAGCTCATGGCGCATTGCAAGTACCATCGGGTGGTCCACAAGCGCCCCGTAAACGAACGAGGGTGAGCTCTTTCTGGTAATTTTAGAACCGAGCAGAAAACTCTTTTATTCTAGCAGTCCTCGCACTTACCTAATGCAATGGATTAGTAGAAAGCGCCCCCTGAAACGTGGTCTTTGAGGCATTCTCACCCGTCCCTGTTAGCCGCTTAAAGGCAGGTTGGCACGAGAAAATGCCTTCAAGACGACTAGGATCAAATACACTGCAGGATATTTTTCCCGTGAGTAAGTGTCCCCTTAGAGGGCCCTATCATAGCACAAACTTTAAGTTCCAAACGGACCGCACGCCCGTCCGGCCCACAAATGGACGACGGTTCCTGACGCTCGTATTCATTCATTACTGGGCAAATTATGAAGCGAAGGGACTGGTATGAAGCGGCCGTGATGCTGGTACACATATGCAGCCGTATCTTCGGTAGCGGTGATTGGTAAGATGCCTACGGGAAACTCGTCCGAAATCGATTTTTACCGGTCAGTTGAGTAACGGAGGCGTTCTTTCGCATGATTTTAATCCGTCACTCCGTTCTTTCGCCAATTTCGCCACCTATAACAGAGCCCTACTAAGCATTTACGGCTTGATAAAGACACCATCGTCCTAACTGCCTTTTCAAGGTTGAAAGGCTATGATCATTCGACCAAATAGGCCCAACGCCAAAACTATTCGAGAGACTGTAAGATATTAGCTCCACAAAGGAAGCTGGGGCTATTAAAGCGTTCCCGAAGGCTAGTTCAGACTGCCGTGGAATATTTGAGGGGATTGGAACCA